CCCTCCCTCAAGTGAAGAGAGTGTGTCTATTTATAGGCTTCAAGGGAGGGGAATTTTGGTCATTTTGTGAATAACTACCATAACCACTCCATTGAACGGCCACATTGATTCTCCTTTATCATATAACATTTTATGGTTATTTGATAGCCTTAACAACCTCGGAATCGGGTAATCATTGGCTTGTTACATTCCTCTCGTTGAGACATTTGATTTGACTATGACACGTCAAATTTGGAGTCTATTTGACACTCAAATTAATCCCCTAAAGCCTCCTTAATGGCTTGATCCTGGCTTGATTGGAAATTTTTGTATCATCGGGTTCGTCTCTTTGAGCTGATCAATTTGACAATAAATTTATTGAAATTAGAGCTCTGATTGATTTTTAATTTGAACTGAAATACTTCTTACTCAAAAAAATATCTCAAGATTCACGTCAAATGGAAAAATTAGTTGATGAAGTATCAAATATAATTTTCTTAAAGCCATTATAACAAAGTGCACTTCTAAGTGAAAACACATGCCACATTCTTAATTGAAATCCATCTATAGTTCATGAAATACACTCTATCTTAAACTACTTATGAATATTCTTCTGCATATACCTTACAAAAATAGTACTATTAGGCAACGTTAGTGGAAAAAGTAAGCTTAATCATTGTTGAAAGGTACATTAAGGTTCTGTTTTTTTTCCTTGTGCAATCATTTTGACCAGTATTCTTTTACATTTGATTTCTTTTCTTGTGCAATCATTTTGACCAATATTTTTTTACATTTGCTATTTTTATCTCACTTTATCTTCTCCATCACCTCTCATTTATCTCCCCACCACTTTAGTCTCATCGTCATTGACATCAATATCATGACAGTGAAAGTAACATCACTTCCAACATAAATAGCAAACATCTTGCCAGAGGTTCTAAGGGATGGCGTTGGCGCCCTTAATTTAATGGCGAATTTTGTGTGTCAAAAAATTTGCGGTGGTAAAGTAATATTTTAATATTTTAATATAGCACGGAGATGCATCACTCAGATAAAAGAAACCTAGCAAGAGTAGATGACAAGATTTTTATGTATAACCCTAAAAAAGGAGAACAAATTACAGGGCATAAGTAAATTAAAGCAATTCACTATGTTTATAAGCACAAGGGAGCCCCCTTCTTCTGTAATAGAGAGATCAACGACAATTTTACACCAAAATTACACTTCTTTATACAACACAAAGAAAATATATGTCTTAAACATAATTGTCATATTTTAACTACAATGGTTACAACCAGTGGTCGCCAATATTCGATTGTCATCGACGACAATGGTTAAAGGCAGTGGTTGACAGCTATGGAGGTTGGTGGTTACTCGTCGAGTCATCTCTCCATAACATGAGAACTTCACTCATATTTTTTTTCCCAAATCAACCCAACCCACTCAAGAGGAGAAGACAAGTTGAGTATTTCATTGTTTGGACTTGGCTTGTTTGAATCATAAGTTCATGTTCAATTTAAGTTTGTGAGATACTTCAAACATATGTTTAAATTTTTTAATGTTCACAATTGGTTTGTACTTACCTTGTTTATATTTATTAAAAAACTAAAAACTCAAACGTACACTTAATTTTTCATATAAACATTTAATTTGCACATAATTTTTCGTATAAATTTAGTAAAATTAAAAAGTATTTACACGAGTATTTAATTTATTAACAAATAATTTTAAGAATCTAATTAAATAAACAATTGAATAAATTTTAATTAACATCTAACTAGTTAAATACCAAACAAATAAAATAATATACAAATTATAAGATTTTTTTTTACAATCTAATAATGTAAATAAGTACTAACAAACTAATTTATTGAAATAAAAAAAATAAACAAAAATCTTTGAATTTATGTTTATGTTAATATAAAACTATAATGTTATTATTAAATATATTATTAAAAAGTTATAATTAATCAAATTTTATTTAAGTATTATATAATATAATTATAATGCATTTAGAAAATTAATTATTGAACAAAAAATAGTTTAGATGTTAATAAAAAAATTTAAATCAGAATAACTTTTAACTAAAAAAACACATTTAACCCTAAACCCTAAACTCTAAATCCAATTAATTGATTTGAGCTTAATTAGACCCAAATTGAACCAATTTTAATATCATTGTGTGCTTATGGAGACTGTCAGTTTGACTATATAAACTTGCTAGAATCTGAGCATAGATGATAATGAATTTGAGTTGGGAAGATTTTTTACCAAAAATACATCAAGATTCTTATTTGATGATAAAAATTTCAGTGAAGATGAATGTGATTTTGGGGAAGATTGGCGACAGAAATGTCATCATCAACTGCAACTATAATGGTGGACTTTAAAGACAGAAAGATGATGGCTTTGATGACCATTATCAAAATGAAGATGTGATAAACATATCAAATATAAGTGAACTGAAGCGTTATCAATTCATTATAGTACATTTTTCCAAAATTCAAGACACAATCCATATATCTTGTCATGAAAAATAAAAGATATGACAAGTGAAATGTAGACAACGGAATAGTAAGAGTAAGCTTACAACACTTGGTAAAAATCAGATCTCTTCATACTAAAATCGAAAACAGGAATAACTTCGGCTAAGCAAGCACAACAATCAATATAAAAACTTTTACAAGCAAGGAGGATCCTTCACAACAATATGTGATCCACTACCTCAAATCCTGTCGGTTCCAGAGCTTTAAGCGGCCAGGTAGTTGTCTTCCCGATGGCTCAAGAGAATAAAAACTCTGCCAAAAAAGACAAATGAGATTATAAAACCAGCAGCAGTTACTCATTCTGACCGCTGTTTTATTGGGCTTGTGTACTCAACCACACTGTCTGAAGAAGTTACATTGGAAGATGCACCTGACGAAGTCGAAGTGCTACTTAAGCCATTCCGGAAACTCTTAGATTCAAACTCAGGGTTCCTTTGAACATCTGGAGCTGTAGGTCTGTGTCCCTCGTCTGCTAACTTCTTTAGGAGGTTCATTACTGTTGGAAGAAACTTCGTAGATAATGAAAGAATCCCAGGAAGCTGCAATGTTAAGCATATGATGTGAATTTAATGACAGAAAATAGTATGATGCAGCTAGATAAAAAAAAAATCATTTCAATCATCTAAAAAACTTACAGCTCCATTTCGAAATTCGCCTGAGATGTCGAGCTGGACCCAGAGGGCCTTAACCAGAAGAAATGCAACAAAGATGACCCCAAGATACAAAGGATTTCTAATAGGAGAGAACATGATAAAAAGATTTTGTTGAATTTGAGAGAGATATTGTTACACTACCAGTAAAAAATTCATAGCAATCCTTCAAGAAAATTACCTTAGAAGTGTCATAAATTCATTAAAACCCAAGATAAGCATGGCAGCAATGGCCCATGGAGGAGGCAACCAATTGTTGTTCCGCTTGTTGGCTTCCTGAAATAGGCATGCAGGTTTAGATATAAAAGCTGTAGCATTCCAGTAAAAGGTGTGAAATTTTGTCCAACCATGCCAAATTAAAGTAGAAGTGGGCTGCAGTTTATAACAGCATTGCAAAGCACTATTCATTAGCTGATGTGCATTTTCATCATACAACTTCGAATAAACTGTTCCTAAGCTGGCAGATGCTCTCCAATGTGCCATTTGAGAAATTATGAAAATAAAAAAAAAAAGACATTCCGAAAAACCAAAAACAAACATGTAGATGGATATACTACTCCTATATTTTTTTCTGGCAAATATGAATTGTGATTCCAACACCAAAGAGTGTTAGCAAAGGCTGTACCGCCCTCAATCTTTTCATCTGCCACAAAAAACATGATCCTAACAAATGTGAAGCAATTTATTACCCAGTAACTCACGGATTTCAAAAGGTGCAGACAAGTGATGACTCAATTGAGTATTTAATCCTTTTTTTTTCTATCTATTGGAGTTATCAGAAAAATTTTGACAGTATAAACAACCACAAAGTTTCAAGGAGAAAAGGCCAAACTATACAGAAGGCAGAGAACAGACACAAAAACACAACAACAACAACAACAACAACAACAACAA